GAAAAGATGCAGGCCATGAGGCTAGTCTAGGAAATGCTTGGTCACTGAAAGGGGTCGTGTTTTGAATTTTTATAAGATAAAAAGTATTTTAAAAAGCATTCTGCTTCAAAGGCAGAGATGAAACAGGTTTGCTTCAGATGAAAGATAGAGCAGTTTTCAGTTAATATGAGCTCCACCGGCAGACTACATTATCTTTAAAGCTCACAGGTGAGCTTTTAAAGAGCTCTTTTTCCCTTTGCGTTGATTTAATCTCTTAGGGGATCAAAGATGTACACACATGAGATCACCTGCGCCTGTTCTTCCCATCCCAGCCCCTGCTGCTACCTAAATGAGCTTCCTGTCTGCACTACAGGACCACGGAGAAACCCAGAAGCCGGAAGTGATTGCACCATCTTCTTTAATGCTGGCATAGCTTGCGCTGTGCTGCCTGTGTCTTGGCCTCTGCTTCCTGTGGACTGTGTGGGTCTGATCTCGACTTCCTTCCTGTGCACTGTTCTCCACAACCTGGCGCCAGGTCTCGGCTGTCCTGCCTCCCTTTGTCTCAGATCTGACAGCCACTCTTTCTCCCCCTGCTGACCCCTGGACTACTGCTGGACTGGCACCCTTCTGGCTCACAGCTAGCACTGGGCTGGTGACAGTGGTCTCCAGTGAAATCTACTTTCTCAAGCAATGTGACATAACACCAGACCCTGTCTGAAACAAGGTCACATTCAGCCCACTTGGGAGAATTCACCGATAGACCCCTGATTGCAAAGATGCAGCTCATGTCCACGAACTCCTGCTGGTTGCAAGGGGAGAGGGGTTGGGGAGAGGGAAAAAAAGAGGAAGAGCTCTAGGCATCTGTAAACGAAAAATGAGGCAAAGATGTAGAGAATTCTAAAATGCGGCAGAAGGCCCACAGTTTGGGCAGCTGAATCCCATTAAGAAATCATGAGCAAGCTCTGTATTCCTGCCATTGTGATGAAGAGGAAAAATAATCTCCGAGGGTTTCACAAAGAAAACATTTTGTGACCAGAAGGCTTGAAAGTTCTGCGAAGGCTCAGGAAAATGAAAACAGTTTGAACGGCATCTGGAGAGTCCCCCCAAGGAATCAGGCGTGCTCTCGTGAGCTTTCTTAGGGTCCGGGGGGGGGGGGGGCGGGGGGAGAGGGGAATTTCAGCCCCTCAGCTCAGGAACATCTGCAGGAGGAAGTCAGAGCCAGGTGGGCCCCTCTGCTGATGCAAGAGCCCAAACGCTGGAGCTCCGGGAGTACAGACAAAGCTGTCTTTATATTCACAGCCCGTCATTTTCCAAGTCTTTTCACGTCCCTAAACAAGGTGGTAGCAGTGCTCATCTGCCTTCAACTCTTTCTCTCCACCTTTTACACTGCATGTAGGTCCTCAAGTGAAAAGTGAGTCATATTTTAAAATTGAATCTGTAAATTAAATTCAAGGCATTCTTGGGAATCAAATAGGATTAGTAAAAATGTTCCCGGTAGCCATTCTGAATGGCTGATGGCTTGTCTCTCTAACCCTGCTCTGCACCATGATAAAAAAGGCCAAACTGATTTTACAGATAAGTGAGTGATATGTTTAGATTGTATCTTAATAATACAATAACCACCGAAGCAGGGGCAGCTGAGCGGTGGGGGCAGGTATACTGCACCTTTTAGTGTGAAAAAATGAAGCCGAGGGAAGAGAGATGATTTTTAAAACTCTAAGAATAGATTCAGTGAGCAGGGCCAGCACACCAATCCCTCCTTGAAGTTTAATCAAAGAACTTTGGCATAAATAAAGCATTAAGTTGCTCGGTGTTCAGTAATTCTATGGACACCGTTAACCCAGAGAAAAGCTTTAGTTAGAAAACAAAACATAAGCTGAAGAGAATGATGATTTAATAATAAGTAATTTTGGTGAGATTCTGGGACTGTCTTACAGAAAGCAACGCTGTCTTCTTTCTTTCCCCCAAACTGTCCCTAGTTGTCATTTTAGGGTCAGGTTACTTGGTGAGAGTCACCAAGGTGTGTGATCAGCGCACACACGGTGTTCTAGTGAGTACGTGGCCTTCCCAACTATTTATCTGCCCTCCCTTTCCTTCCATTAAGGTGAGCATGTTCAGTCTCTTCGACCTGATAATTTGGGTATAAAATATAAGATACAAGCGAATACAAAATTTGAATATTGTAACTTGAATACAAAAAGACCAGTGTGGCATCATGGGAATGCAGCACAGCAGCAGAATTTCATAAATAGACTTGTGCTAATCTCAGATTGATTTCCATGCTTTCCCTGAGACCTGGATTCTGACAATAAGTACTTTCTTGTGAAGTGCTAGAGATGAGAAGCAAATGGATGAGGGAGAAGAAATTTCCTGGAATATCTATTGCACCTCGCAGCGTGTCTTCTTTCTTTCTTTCTCTCTTTCTTCCCTCCTTCTTTGCCTAGGAGTACTAAAGGCCCAGCACAATACTGGCCCCACAGAGGGCTTTAAGGTAGACTGAGTGAGACTGTCACCATGATATGTACTATTGGATTATCTCCAGTATTTCTAACAGTAAATACCCTCTCTCCAGCCTGCTTGGCCTATCTAGTCTAGAACCCTATCAGGCAGCAGTCCAGGACAGCTGAATCTTTCCCCAAAATGAAAAAGGAAACAACCTTCTCCGTATATCCCAGCCATGTCCATAGAAAAAGTAAGAGCCAGTATCAAAGTTGATCCCTTTAAATGCTTCTGTTTTTGTAGGGGGACTGTTGGCTATAAAAAAAAAAATCACATACTATAACTTAACAATGTGAAGAAAGTCACTCTTCACTCTCCAAAAATTTACTGTTAAATTACAAATGGGTCTGAAAGCCTTTGACTCTTCAAGTGTGTATTAAAATGGAACAAAAGGACGACTCTGGAGAGGCAGTATTAAGCTCAGTTGGTGGAAAATAGAAGCTCTTTGAAATGGCTCCTTTAAAGGCCTTGGCATTCTGACTTCAATACATTCTCTTTTCAACCACCTTAGACATTTGTTTTTAATAAGTCTTTACAAGTAAGTGATTCAACAAAGGACTTTAAAACTGTGTTTCTAACCAGCAAAATAAGTACAGACTCCAGATGTTTCTCATTTTTCCATGTCACAATTCAAACTCAGAAATGTCTTGTTCATTGGACATTTATTTAATCCTAATGTTTTATATGCCTCTCTTCCAAGATTTCCCTCTCTCATTGCTGCATCCCTCCCCTCACCAAAGCCATCTAAAAGGTAATTTGCCATAAAGCAGCTGTGCCTTTCTAGTGTGTTCTCTGAGCGGCTAGGGATCACCTTTGGAGGTTCCCTTCAGGACTTTTTGTCCTCTGATGCCTGGCCCAAGTCACCCAGATAGCCATTCAGATTTTGCCCCCTGGATAAATAATCATTTATCATCCCATCTGAGCTCATTATAGCTGCTTTTCTGTGCTCTCCTAGCACTCAGTGAACTGTGGCGGATGGTTTGCCATACTTTACTGTGTTCCTAATTCTCCCTGGTCCCATATTGGAGGACCAGGAGTGCAAGGAACTAGAGAAGTAGAGAACAGGAAGGTGACAATAACAAGAACAGATCTTCACGGAACATAAAACAGGGTGGTGGTACTGATGCTGCTTCTGATGGCAATGGGGACACATACCCGTAGGTGAATCACACAAAGGAGAGACACTTGAAATCTTTCCTATGTACTTGTTTTTAATGGAATAAGATCGGATGTGACATTTTAAAATTGATAATTCTACCAGTGAAATTATGTATGGCTACTATTGAGTGAGACTGTCACCATGATATGTACTATTGGATCATCTCCAGTACTTCTAACAAGAAGGTTCTATTATCTCCATGTCATGAATGGGTCTTCGAGATGCTAACACCTACTTGCTCAAGAAATGTGCATGCTGTAGAGAACAAATCATGTGTGTCTTTGCAAATCAGGGATCACCTGATGCAAAGACACTCTGGAGCAGCATTTGGTCATTTCAGAAAGAAAGAAAAAAAGTATATATATTTTAATTTAAGTATAATTCACAGGTATTCATAAGGCTATCCCAATCACAGTGGGTTTGGTAGTGATATAGCTTTTGTGGAGCTATCTAGCTTGGCTTGCAGGGTTGACAATACTGAATACCGCAGAAAACTCCAACATAGTCTAAGTACTACAAGAGAACAAAATCACATGTTAGGCAGCAGAATCTTGCAAATGACTTCAGAGTGACAATTTGATATTTACAGCCCATATAAAAATATTAATTCATTTGTATAGAGAATGTCTTAAAGGCTTTAGGTGTGTCTTCGGTCACTATTTTTCTTCTCAAAGCTAACAAGGGATTTAAATCCGCTCATTAGTTGGTAATTTCTACTAAAACCCTCTTTTTGGTGGAGTCCCATGGTATTTAAATAGCTGGTGTTTAAGTTGTCATAAAGACAAAATGCTGAAATAAAGTAAGTTGAGCTTGCTAGATGAGAAATGGATGAACCAGAAGGAAGAAAAGGCAGTAAAGAAATGAAATGAAAATGAGACTCCTTGAGAGGAGACAATTGAAAGGGAACATTTCCTATTCTTTTGACCTATGAAGCTAATCTATAACTGGTTTTCAAAACTGTGTGTACATCAGAATCGTTTGGAAGGTTCCCTAAAGCACAGTGGTAGTCTCCCTAAGAGTTCTCAGCTGATGCTGGTTCTGCTGGGTAGGGACCATCACTTTCAGAATCACTTCTTCAAAAATCTGACTTGAGTTATATACAGTTAGCAGCATTATCTTACCTTCCCCAGTTTACGTTCTCTATATCTCTGCCCAAGATGGACACTGTTTTTGGATTTTCTCAATTTGGTTTGTTTGTTTGTTTGTTTTTGTTTTTGTTTTTGTTTTTGTTTTTGTTTTGGTCCAAGGATTGAACTCATGCCCTTGTGCTTGTCAGGTAGGTGCTTATGCCACTGAGCTATATCCCCAGTCCCTCTTTTTATTAAAAACAAAAGTTTGTAAGTTCACATTGAATAGCTCTTACCTGATGAAATTTGCTGTTTCCACCCAGGATTATTTTCATGAGAGAGAAATAGGTGTGAGAACTGTTGAGAAAAAGATAAGAGACAGTCAGAGATGGCAATCCAGATTTCTGTACCATTATGATTGACATTAACTCTTGGATCAAATGAACATTATTATGTTAAGGAGATGCAAGTCACTTTTTTGCATCATTTTTTATTAGCAATTTAAGCCAGTTTGTAGATGAAAAAGAGGCAGTTTGGTCAGTAGAGTGGATGACAAAAGAAAGGAAATTTAATGATATAATAATAAATTCTATAGAATAGAAAGTATGACAATATCAGTTACCACTAAATATTCTACACAATGTTAATGAATACTTACTTGGGTGCAACTACTATTTGTTTGTTTTACTACTTTTTAGTATTCAAAGAACTAATTTTTTTTTTTTCAAATTCTGCTTTCTAAGGCAGTGATGTAACCTGCTTATTGTTTTGTTTTGGTACTGAGGATTGAACTTGGGACCTTGCACTTGCCAGGCAGGTGCTTATGCCACTGAACTAAATCCCTACCCACAACCTGCTTACATGATTTATTTCTTTTTGGATTATCAAAAACTATAGGCAAACTATAAGCAATGTAAAATAGTGTCTGAGAGGCACACATGTGTGGTGTTTGTGACAGTACAAAATGTAACAGGACATCTTCAGTAAAAGTACTTTCTTATCCAGAAATTTTTCAAAATTTCCAAGGGGTCAGGGATTATGCTAAGCAGCATAAACACCTACATGGCATGTTTCGTGGCAATCTCCAGTACCAAAAAACAAAAAATGCAGGTAAAGGAGAGCACATAATGTTTTCTTGGTCAGACAGAACTCATTCTAGAGTTGGCCCCTTGATCTCAGCCTCTGGATCCCTGTCACATCAAACCCAGGGCCTTAGGGGTTCATAGGAATCACTGTCTCTATACTTCTTTTTCAGTTGCAAATGTGCTCAACAGCTCAACCCAAAAGCTTGGCCTACTCACTGGCACTTTCTTGGGCACTAGAACACATGCCTCGCTGTTTTGGCTTTGCACCTTGCCCTTGGCAATGCAAAGATAACTTTAATGGTGGTGTTTGCCGTGTCTGGGCTTCTCCATCTTCATGTCTATGTAGGGGTAAAGACAGTGGCCTTTCCTTTCCGGAGCTTCAGTGCTTGCTCTACTTCTCCTGCAGCCATGCTTGACTCTGGGTTAAGACCTCATTCTCTGCTCCTCTAAAGCACTCTAAGAAGAGTTCTGACTTTCTGTGAATGTGAAACCTGGGCTTGATCTTCTTTAACTGACCTGCCATTTTTAAATAAATCCATGGAAGGTTTCCTGCAGACAAGAGTTGGCTCACACTTCTCCTTCATGTTCAAGGCTTAGAAAGGGACCACCCCCTCCATGGGACTAAATATAGCTGTAATATTTTTATTCTGGTGAGACATGATGAACTCATAGCTATTTTGCCAAGTGCTTTCTTCTGGAAGATTTATGGCAAACCAGTGCTCACCAGCTCATCAGGGCAAGGTGCCCACAGATTTTAACTTGTCAGCTTGCCTCAGCTAGAAATTCAGGAACTTCAAGATAGTGAACTGGCTCCAAGCATAACTATGCATTTGTCATTCAGCAAAGGCTATTTTCTTTTCCTTTGTTAGAAAAATACCAACTGCAAACATTTATTGAACTTTGAGGTTGCCATAAAAGATATATTGGATATGTGAGTTTTGCCCTGAAACAATGAATTCTGGGTTTTGCCCTGAAACAACGAAATAAGTAAAGAAACAGTAAAATGAAGGATAGAGGTAGGCATTAACTGCAGACATTAGAGATGTGTGATGTCAAAGAGTTCAGGGCTGCTTTAGGAGAGAAGTGGTTAGGCAAAGATTAAAGGATGCATATGATTTATACAAAAGAATGGGCAGGCTTCATGTTTTATTTAGAAAAATAAACATCCTGGTTTATACAATGTGATATGGCCACTAATCATCATTGTAGAGGGCTTAGAAGTCTCATACTATAACCAGTAGGCTAAAGAAATCTTGTGTTTGACTTTTACTTGAAGTCTTTTTAAACACATTTGAGTGATTTGTGAATACTAATACATTGGATTTTACTTTTAAAAGTGTAGATTTATATTTTGCCTTAAAACTGGACAGTCTGTCAAAACCTGGCCTACATTTCTACAGAGCTGAGAGTACTCGCCCTAGCACAGGGACACTGCCTGCCCTGCCTCCACACCCACGCCACTCCCACCTAACTCGCAGTGCTCATCTGTAGCCACTGTCTGGCTCCTGGAAGCACTGGAGCTTTCAGTCCTGGTCTCTGCACTTTCACAGAGCCTCCTGCTGTGGCAAACACTCCAACCAATTCACTCAACACATGTGGTCTCGCTCGCTCAGCCCCTTTTGCAAGGCAAAACAACTTACACACCAGATTCTTTATAAAGCATTGCTCTTGTTCCAGAGAGGAAACCACCAAAGGTAACACACACACAGGGTTTAGCTTTGGGTTCTGAAAATGCACTGGGAGGGCTGAGGGGATAAGTCATTTGGACACACAGATTCTGAATTCAGTCCTTAGTACTGATAGATAACAAGCAAGCAAGCAAACAAACAAATGAAAGTCTAAAAGTCATGGGATTGTGACTTAAAATGCATACTCTGCAGTGGTACAGCTCCTGTTAGACAGGAAAGATCAGGTTCTATGAACTCTTCTAGATCATTCAATTTAGGAGGACTCAATGGAGCAAATTTTATGTAGGAAAATGTAGATCAATAAAGTAGATACATGGAGGCTAAAAAGTCTATTTTTCGGGAAATTTTCTGTTTTGTGAATAGTTTTATTTAAACAGGATTGTTCATACATATATTTGAAATATAGTCAAATTTACCTGAAAAATATCACTGTGTATCCTGAACAGAGGTATGTCTGCATGAAAATTTAATGTGGATAATCAGTCCTCCTTGCCTGCTCTTAGGAAATGTATGGATCACACCGAAGATCAGGGTAATACAAACAGCATGTGTTAGATTGGGAATAATCACTGACTGATTCATGCAGCCTGTTTATATATATATGTTTCTTTAGCCCAGTAGACTTTGTCTTGGTCCTTTTAATCAGCATCTCTGAACTTGACCAGATGCATTAACCTGTTGATTTCTGTTTCTCATATGAAGGAATCATGTTAAATTATATCTAAGTCCCCTAAGGATGGAACATATCATTGTTCTCAGATGGAAATAATGGAATCCCAGGGTTGTTTTTAGGCTTAGGAATTGATCTGCAGTTTTTTGACCATGAGTACTTGGTAGCCGCCAGCAGGATTGCTCTGCTCTGTCACAACTGGCTTCCCTTCCACCTGGTCCTGCAGTCTAGCAGTGGAGTCGTATGGCTATCTGCTTATTAAATATTCCATCACCCTTGGATATTAAGTACTCTATGATCCCCGAGGCCTGCATTCTCAATTTCCTCTGGCTAATTTAGAGGAAAAGATTTCACTCTCTGTTCAAAACCATGTGAAGAGAAGGAAAGCCAACCCATAATACCTCTTAAAGTTGAAAAATTATAGAAAGTGTGACATGCAAAACACTGGAGATGTTCACCATTTTTAGAAAGAAAATCCTATGCTTTTTCTTTTCCTTTGTTTTAAATCTCGAAGTTTATTTTAACAAAGCAAAGATGGAGATTTTATTGTGAAATACTGTTGTAGGCAGACAGCAACAAAATGAGAGAGCATTTACATTGAATAGGAGTCACAGGCGGCAGAGCAGTGTGTGAATGTGAGTGTATGGTCAGCTCATTATTTAGAGCAGAAATCAGCCCCTGTGACTTGGGGGGAGCTGTTGGCGGCCCTACACAATTGGGCCCTCTGGATCTTTGCTTTTACTTTGTTCTTTCTCAACTGTAAATGGATATTCATTGTAGAATAATTATAATACATGAAAAAGATAAACCATCCAAATTTCCACTTACCCACAAACTTAATACAGTTAGCATTTAGGTGTACACACCTCTAACAAATATAAACATGTACATTATATGGTTTTAAAAATGGAATTGTCCTGTAAATACTCATTTGCATATATATGAATACAGGTAAATGTTATATTGATATGTGTATGTGATAGTGAAAACCCAGTGTGGGCTGGGAAGCCATGTGCCTTGAAAGACATCATTGAAGACTTGTCCTCGAGTAGGTGTCTACTTTAAAGCCACATTAGGCTTTCACAGATTTTCCCTTCAGGAAATGGACAATTTTCATAAAGTGGCGCCATGTGTGTATGAATATATACGTGTGTGTGTGTGTATATATATATATATATACATATATATATATATGCCTAACATCATTAATCAAAATTGTTACAAGATTATAAAGTAGTGTTTATATGGATATGTTTTTGATACTGTGAAGTAGCACATTTTTGGAAAATCAACATTGGACATTTTTTCCTGTAATTCCACTTGAGGGGGATTTGGTGGGGAAGGAGCAGATGAAGAACACCCGCCTGCATCACCAGTTTGTGTTGAAATCACTGAACTCTCAGACAGAGGATGCTTGATGATGAAGTCAATAAGGCAAATACCAGAGACTGTCTAAACCCAGAACCAGAGGCTTTTGCACCTTTTTACTGTGAACTTTAGAAAGATATAAAGCTTTTATGTTGTGCAATTCTGTTCATTCCATTCTACTCTTTTTCTCTTTTTAAATTATTGCTCAACACTCACTAACTTGATTTCTTAGCCCTTTGACTGTCAATTTGAAGAATACTTGGCTAAAACATCCATCTATTCTGATATATGAATGTAGAACAACAAATCATGGTATATTAAAAAATTTCTCCTATGTGAACAAGGTTTATAAATAACATATAGCGTAAATGTCTTGTATTTTCAGCCACTTTTCAAAAGTAACTAAGATTTTGGGGGCATTATATATGTAGAATCCGTATATTTATTTAGAATAAGTACAAACTCAGATCCAATGTAAAACACAAAATCCACATGTACTTGTTTAAAGCAACAGCTGTTCTCACTTAGGAAGGAATAACTTTCTAC